ATCTTTCAACACACCCTGAGCCTGGAGGAGACATAGAGAGACAGTTTGTGTAAATTTGTGCAAACAGGACGAGATGAACTCTTAATGTTAAAGCAGAATTAAATGCATCTAACCTACAAATACTGAATGCAATTCTGGTTTCAGCTCATTTTGGAAAACGCCAGCTTTGTTTTATAAACAAATCCTTTAAAGCATTTTAATAAATAACAGCAGAACCGTGTTTGTCCGTTTCTGGCACGATTTCGCCGGAGCAGCCAAAGAAAACACGCTTTTGTTGTGCTGCAATCACGCAGTTTACATTATCGCCGGGTGTAAATGATGCCAAATTATGTTTAACTTCGAGTCTCTTAATTTGTTTACCTGTTGACCGTAGAAGCCAGTCAGAAGTCTCTTGTGATTGGTGGACGAGTCGTCCATCTCGCCGATCTCGGCCAATCCGTGCAGGTGAGCGTTGACGTACAAATAAATATTATTATAAAGTTATATGACTTGTTTTCTAAAGAATAGATTTCATTTTATTTTATTTTGTTTATTCATATTCATTTTATTATTCATGTTTATTGTAAATGCTGTCTTTCTCACCGTTTCGGCGTGCGTCCAGTCCGTTGTACGGCAGCATTCGTATCTGTCCGCGCAGTTCGCTCTCTTGCTGCTCTGCCGTGGCGATGTTAATGAACAGTTCATTCTGCAGCAGCATGTGAATGTGTCTGGCCTCGACGCGGCTGCAGCTTCCCAGCGCTCGCCCGCCGATCGTCACGCCGACCACCGTGCTGCTCAAACCCGCCACCAGAACCTGCTCAAGAACATCAGAGCGCTCAATCGACGGACCTGGCTAAGCCATCGAGAAATGAGGGAACAGAAGGGAGTCGTTACCTGGTAGTCGAGCGAGCCGTTGTGATGCAGGGTGAAGACGGCAGACCCGACGCCGCCGGTTTTCCCAGGAGTCAGAGCAGAACCGCTGGACATCACGCTTTGAAGAGCTGAAAGAGACATACATTTACATCATTTTACATAATAATTTTTAGATATAACCTACAATGTAAATATAGTCAAATAGATCAGATAGCAAAGGTACAGCAGCAAAAAAGTTAGAAAGAGGGTGGAAAACAACATTTTGATTATTTTTGTGCATAACACCTTGACCAAAATTATGTGTGAACTTGTATGTAAATTTACTTGAATTTACATAATTTACCAAAGTGACTTTTGAAATAAAACAATTTGAGGTAAATATGTTTTTATAGCTATTTGTAGTTTTCTGTAGTTAGATGGTGAAAACCAAAATGTTATTGTTTTGGTGCATGAATCCTTGACTAACATAATTTTTGAACTTAGCTGTAAATTTCCCAAACTGACTTTTGAAATTAAATAGCTTCATATATTTTTTGTTGTAGTTGTAGTTTTTTGTAGTTAGAAAGGTGGTGAAAATAAAATTTTTATTGTTTTAGTGCATAAATCCTTGTCTAACATTATAATGTTAACTTGGATGTAAATTTCCTTGAGTTTACATAATTTCTCAAAATAAACATTTTGATGTAAATATGTTTTTTGTACTTGTATTTTTTGTATGTATACGGTGAAAAACTACATTTTTATTGTTTTGGTGTATAAAACTTTGACTAACATTATATGTTAACTTAATGCAAAATTCTTCGAATTTACATCATTTCTTAGTTTGATGTAAATATGTTTTTGTAGTTACTTGTAGTTTTTTGTTGTTAGAAATATAGTGGAAAAACTACATTTTTATTGTTTTGGCACATAAAACTTTGACTAACATTATAGGTTAATGCAAAATTCCTTGAATTTACATCATTTCTTAGTTTGATGTAAATATATGTTTTTGTAGTTGTAGTTTTTTGTTGTTAGAAATATAGTGGAAAAACTACATTTTTATTGTTTTGGCGCATACAACCTTGACTTGCATTACATTTTAACCTATTTATAAACGAATAAAATTATGAATTATGATAATATGACCTCTTTAAATAACTTGTATTTGTGCGTGACAGAAAGGGTGAGAAAACCAGGGAAAACTAAACCGAACGGAGTGTTTTTATGTGCGATTAGAGGTCCAGAGGGAACACAATCAAACCCACATGAACTCATGCAGGGTCAAAGGTCACGGCTGGATTGACGTCATCCCCGGAGACGAGGGAAATTGGCCGACGTGCAGGTAAATAGAGACCGCTTCGATGTAGAAAGAAAGAAAGGACGGTCGACGAAGGCTGAGGACTAGACAGAGAGCGAGAGTGGTGCAGGATCGTTTAAGTTTGAATTCTTCACACATAACGTCAAGCTGTTAAGGGTGCAGCTGGAATCAGACAGCAGACGGAGCGCCAGCACAGCGTGACCTTGGCAGCGGCTGCCAGCGTGTGTGTGTGTGTGGACACAAGAGGCCGCACACAGACATACAAGTCAAACACACACACACATGCACACAAACTCTTGACTAACATACGGAATGACTAAGAAACTAATCCTACAGCATTTGACCTCTAACCCCTTGGCGGCATAGCCGTGCATTCCTGACCTCTTCACGATCGTGATTATAATTATGAACTCGGTACGACGGGAAATTTAATTCTGGCACGAGAAATACCCAAGATTATTTATGCATGACACGAAGATGAAATATAACACAGCATAAATCACGGGATAAAAACAGCCACAGCAGACAGACGGATGTAGTTACTGATCTAATGTGAAGTCTGGTGTCACTTAGTTCAGCTTTGAGCTCACTGTACGATAGTGTGTTACTAAAAGATGATTAAACTAGCCTACAAACAGAAGTGAAATGTGTTGTTTAAAATTAAATCTTCAATATTTGCAACAACACTTCCTGTTAAAGTGTTGTCTTTTTTGTCTTATTTAATTTTTTTTTTCATATTTAACAGTACAAATTAAGTTGATTTATGGATTAATGGGGTGATTTATAAGGTTGTTGTTCATGTTTCCTGTATTAAATGATTTTTTTTTAAATAATTGGTGTTTTTTAAATAATATATATATATATATATATATATATAAAGTGCTCCCTTCACTTTTCAACCCTGCCAACAAAATCTATCATATGTATCTGTTGAGATGTACTTCACAATATTCCAAAGCCAGAGTGCACTGAGCATTTGGCTGTCTGGACCGTCCCACTGCACACAAAATGAAATGGAATGAATCACTGCTTTTCTCAATCCATCTGACCCCCACTATCTCCCTCTATCCCTCGCTCAATCGCTCAGCCATGGCTAGAGCACACATGACAGCCTGACCAGCAGCAGTGTTTACCTAGAACCCACCCCCCTTCCTTCCCAGGTGGAAGAATAGGAGGAGTGAAAGTACTTTTAAAGTGACGTATCTAAAAGAACCCGTGGACATGGCCTGACGTGGGCTCGACAGACTCAGGAGAGTAAGATGGCATTTAAGAATAACCAAAAACAATGGGAAAGCAATGTTTTAATGTCTGA